TCTTGTGATTTAAATGGTCCACGACAATTTAAGGTTAAAAATTATGTATTTAGTCTTTGAATGGGATTTTTCAACAAATACCAAAGAAGGCCTAACTACAATGTAGGCACCTATAGGTAATTTGATTAATTCATATTGCAATTATGACAATTGATAAACGTTGTTAAAATAATGGGTAAGTGTGTGATTATTATTTTTACAGCGGTTCCGAGAAATCCTAGCCGCATCGTTGGTGGTACAGAAACTACCGTCGAAGAGTACCCTTACATGGTTAATATGCAGTACGCCAGTACTCATCATCAGGCATGTTTTTTTGGGGTCAAAGATGCGGTGGCTCTCTTCTGACCTCCACAGCGGTGCTTTCTGCTGCACATTGCTTCTAGTAAGTAAAGTACATATTATCAAAAGAAAATAATTTGATTTTATTGTAAGTAGCACAATTTATTATTATTGACACAATATTTTTTTTCAGTGAAGACGCTGACTGGCAGTGGCGGGTGGTTCTTGGTACCTCATTTAGAAACGGTGAAGGTGGCTCCGTCCATACTATTCAGCGAGTTATCATGCATCCTCAATACATACACAACATCTGGAACAATGACGTTGCCATCGTCCGCTTCACCGCCCCAGCTGTATTCTCCAACACTGTTAAACAAGCAAGGATTCCTGGGACTCAGTACCACCTGGCTGACGGCTCCCTTGTAACACACGTAGGCTGGGGCTATCAATGGGTACGTTGACAGACATTTTGTTATTGTTTCATTGTTCTAAAAATAATAGTAGGCCAATAGACATCTGGATAAAACTAGCTGAATGCTTTTGGAAATATGCAGATGTTAAAAATAAAAATCTGGAATGTTACAGACTGCCGGCCCATTATCCGAGCAGCTGTTACATGTCCACGTGAACGTCATCAACCAGGAAGAGTGTGCATCTCGTTACGCTTACCTCAAGACTCAGCCTGGTTACGAACATTGGCCAGACGTTAATGACGGTATGGTGTGCGCTGGGATCCTGGATGTGGGCGGCAAGGACGCCTGTAAGGGAGACTCTGGCGGTCCCCTTGCTCACCATGGAGATATTGTTGTTGGAATTACATCTTGGGGATTTGAATGCGCAGATCCTTTCTATCCTGGAGTCAGTGCACGAGTTACTCAATATACCGAATGGATTGTGGCTAACGCAAATTAAATTATACATACCTATTACCAATGATTTTATCTTTTAACCGACTTGCAAAAAATACTTGCTAGCCGAATTGATATGGGCTTGTGGCACCGACTTCTAACCTATCAGTGGGTGGGTAATCTATAAATACATATGAATAATAATAGTTATTTGTTGGTTTTTAGTTTTGAGCTTTTGCTTGTCTAGGTTTTGGTTTTCGAAGTCGGTTTTTTTTCAGTATTTAAGTTAGTCCTTTAGTAAGTTTTCTTACCTATCAAAAATGTATTGAAACCAGTAGCACGGATAAGGAGATGATACAGGTACCTAAAATCATAATGAATGGAGGACAACATGGGAACTGGAAACGTAATCAAAATAACTAGATAAACATAGCCGTACATAATAATAAAATTGTTATCAAAATGTACTTTCTGATCGCTAATTATAATCTGTGATACTACTGATAACTAGCGTAATATATTGGGTATTACCTATTGATAAAACTTTTTAGGCACTTACGATACGAATGCCGTCAATCATAGCTTCTCAGATTGGTAATCTCCAGTAAAGTTCAATCTGTATTATATTATAATTCTTTTATAAACCACGTTTAAAATATCGACTTCAACCGACTTCAAAAAAAAGGAGGTTTTCAATTCTACTGTATTTTTTTTTATGTTTGTTACTCGATTACTCGAAGACGCCTCGACCGATAAAACCGCTAATATCTGATAAAGGTCTGGAGTTGATCTGATGATGAAGCCGAGAGGCAGTCGAGGGAACTCCTCAACGGTTAACGGTAGCTACATTTCTTTTGGGTCTGATTAATTTGTATTGATAAGGATTTTACACCCAGGTGTAGTGTGATTGTCACTAAATGTCCAATGATGAAGTCGTATGATAGCTAAGAGAACAATGGTTAACAGTAGCTACCTGGTGTTTGAGCTTGAATAAAGATGAAAACTTTGCACCGATGTGGGTTATCCTTACTATCCTTACTAGTCCTTACTTCCTTACTAAATAAATCTGAAAGTGAGTTTGTTTGTTTGTTCTGCTTTCACGCCGTAACTACTAATACGATTGCTTTTAAATTTTGTAAACGTAAAGTTAGAAGTCCAAATTAAATCATAGGGTACTTTTTATCCCGGAAAAATATTATATTCCCGAGGGAAAACATTTATATAACGGGGTAGCGTTGTGTTTTTAAGTATTTTTCGCTTTTAAATTTTGATTCCATCCATTTTACATTAAATTGCGTATTTTATAGATTTTAGGTTGCTAAAGGTATACGAAATTGGTGTCTATGTATTAGTTACGCTACTTGGCGATAGATGGCGCTGAGTGTTTATAAAACGTGGTAGCGTTGAGTTTTTAAGTATTTTTCGCTTTTATATTTTGGTTCCAACTATTTTACATTAAATTACGTATTTTATAGAGTTGTTTAAGGAGTTTTATGGAGGTTTTTTTAGGTTGTTAAAGGTACACGAAATTGGTGTCTATGTAGTAGTTACGCTACTTGGCGATAGATGGTGGCAACAATGCTCAACAATTAGCAAATATATTGTACGCTGTTGTTTCAACGCTCGATAGATGGCGTTAAGATAGTATTAGATGGCACTATGGTTTCGTTACCGGCGAAAGTATAGGTTCCGAGCTTCCGAAACAATTGTATTTTGGTGTACGCGTCTAGCACAAGTGTTATTTTTTTAGGTAGATATTATTATCTAAAATACTTTTTTTTTTCGTCGTTTTAAGACTTTTAAGTCGTTTTGTTCATTGTTTACGTTGATTGATACAGTAGCTATATATTAGTTAGGTTAGATTAGTGAAGTGGTTTATTTCTAAGTAGATGTCTAAAGCAGTTAGGTTACGATAGTAAAACGTATAATATAGTTTACCACTCAGTTTTGGTTTAACATTGCAAATGAAACCTATGGAAAATAGAAGTATTTTAAATTAAAATGGGTGGATGGTATTTGTGGTGATGCGAAAATAACTCCTTCTGTTGTTCTTTCACGCTAAACGGCTGAACGGATTTCGAAGAAATTTGGTATAAAGGTAGTTTGAGCCAGGACTCAAGGGAAAAGCAAGACTTTACCACGGCAGAACTTCTCATTCCCACGGAAAAATCTAAAAAGCGCGATATAACCGAATTTCACGCGAGCGAACAGCTATTTGTTTGTTTGCCTGTCTTAAACGGTAAAACGGAGGTACTTAACGTGATTTTTTAACTGAAGGCAGTTGAAGGGATGGATAGTCACATAGGCTACTTACTACTACTACACGAAGCCGCGGGTAAAAGCTAGTACACAGATATTTGCATCTATTGCGAAAATATCTTGCAAAATGGAGATACTTAACGTGATTTTTTAACTGAAGGTAGTTCAAGCTAATTTTATCTTTTTGTGACGCGAGTGAAACCGCGGCGGGTAAAAGCTAGTACATAACATAATATATTCCAGTAGGTACTAAAATAAAAAGTATAGTCGGTTTGTGGCACCGATACCCATAACAAAATATATCATAGGTAATGGTCACAGGTATAATCCATAATAAATAAGCGAGGTAATAATCCCACACTCCCTATTCTTTTTCCCCAAAAAGCTAGGCGCCTGTGGAAGGTTTCCCCCTCAACAAAAAAAAAAGTATAATCTATCTATCTATATCTATACATATAATAAAATTGTAGAAAAGTGCTGTCTGTACATTGAAAATAAAAATAAAAAAAATAGCAGGGGCTATTGCTTTGTCGATGTCGAACCCAAAAATGTAACTAACTTTTTTTTTGTCTGTTTGTCTGTTTGTCTGTTCACGCTAATCTCAGAAA